TTATTTTTCAAACAATTTCTTATATTTCAACCGAGATTTTAACTATCAATCAATCAAACCCCATTCCCATTTTAACCCCGGAAGGGAGAAGAATTGTAGACTTACCATATTTATTTCAAACCATAAAGGAACTAAATTACCATGGACCATTATTCGGTTGCTCATTCGCGAACATGATCATCGTTGGAGAGCACAGAAAAGGCTTGGAGAGTACCTAAAAACTAAAAAGTTCCATGTGCAATATAACGAAGCTCCTTCCTTTGGCTGAAACAAAAACAGGACAAATGAGTATAAACGAAGCATTGACGGTAGCTTCAATATCAACTGGGATTGGATATTCCACACCTGATGAAATCATGGCATTGCTAAATATTCCATTCATGTCGCCCAATACATATCAATCTTTTCATGAAAAAGTTGGTAGTATTATAAGAAAAACAGCGTGGGATGTTATGAAGGAAGCTGCCGAGGAAGAAGCTCAATTAGCGAGAGATTTGGGCGAAGATGATAAAAAGACGAAGTTTCCCTTGATTACCGTGGTAGCGGATGGAGCATGGGGAAAACGTTCATATAATGTAAATTATGATGCCGCATCAGGAGCAGTAAGTATACAGTTTAAAACAACGTTATAAATATTTATATTTTTTAAAACGAAGTAGGTAATTACTAAAATAATTTTGTATTTACTTTTTAGGCATGCATTGTTGAAGCGAGAACAAAAAAGTTGCTATTTTTGGGAATCCATAACAAGTATTGCAGCTGCTGTGCTCATGCGGAGGCAAAAAATGTATCCCCCATTCCCGACCATGCTTGCTACAAAAACTGGAAAGGAACTTCAACAGGAATGGAGAGTGATATATTTTGTGAGGGGTTCAAAAGAAGCATGGAAATGTATGGTTTAATATACCTGAAACTAGTTGGAGATGGAGATAGCAGTGACCATAAAAAATTAATTGAAAGTAGACCATATGACACCACACTGGTACAAAAACTTGAATGCAGGAATCATCTACTCAGAAACTTCTGTGCAAAAATTCGAGACATTTGTGGTAAGTGTGCTTGCCTTTTAATTCTTAGTAAATGTAGAAAATTTTGGTATTTCTCTCTCGTGCTTTTCAATAAACCTATAGATATTTTGAAAACAAAGTAAGTTATAAGGTAAATATACCTATTCATAATAGTTATGTGTATACCAAGGCCGAGAAATGCCTTTTTAGCGTACATAAAGAAGGCAAAATAATTTCGAGGACGCTAAAAAGTTTCGCGGTCATCGTATATACACTATTTTTTGCGCATCTATAAAAATTTGGTAAAGTTACAAAAAAACTGTATGGATTTGATACATTTTGCACGTAAGGTGTATGCACAAAAAATATTTTAGTCTGACATAAACAACCCCCTATAATAATAGTTACCTATAATTTATTTTCTAGCCAAGAAATGAAGTTCCTCTACCAATTTCCCAGTTTTACCTTCCCTAAGAAAAATAGTGTCTGAATCTGTTAGAAATTATTAGGAATAATTTATAATATATTATTTATTTATCAAAAATAATATATTTCTCCAAAATTATAATTTATTATAATGTAAATATTCACAGTACAAGGCTCGTGATGACTCTGCTCGTTTGTTTACACAGCAAGTCATCACTTGGACTTGTTTATTTTAACACAGTTTTTATGTGGAATTCATTTCAACGCTAACACGGCCAGCCTGATGCTGGGACGCTCTCGGCCCAGTCAGCTCGTCCATATCCTGACCTTCCTGAGGGGTAACAGGCAAAGTTCCTGGTTCTTCAATGCTCTAGAAGAATAAATTCATAGTTTTACCATACGTGGATACTTCAAAATTCATAAAAACTATTACCATATTGATAGACAATACAACTGTCCGGTAATATGAGAAAAATAAAATTGCATCAGCATAATAACCAAAAATATGTCAGCAAGCAATAAAATTGCCCAAACATAATAAGCAAAATTATGTCAGCAAGCAATAAAATTGCACAAACATAATAAACAAAAATATGTCAGCATGCAATATAATTGCCCAAACATAATAAACAAAAATATGTCAGCAAGCAATATAAGTGCCCAAACATAATAAGCAAAATTATGTCAGCAAGCAATATAATTGCCCAAACATAATAAACAAAAATATGTCAGCATGCAATATAATTGCCCAAACATAATAAACAAAAATATGTCAGCAAGCAATATAATTGCCCAAACATAATAAGCAAAATTATGTCAGCAAGCAATATAATTGCCCAAACATAATAAACAAAAATATGTCAGCAAGCAATATGATTGCTCAAACATAATAAACAAAAATATGTCAGCAAGCAATATAATTGCCCAAACATAATAAACAAAAATATGTCAGCAAGTAAAACATTTACCTCATGATCATCATTATCTGAAATATACGTCTCTAGCACATCTGAGCAGTCTTCAGGGTACCATTCTTTGGGCCAAAGACGCATCTGGTACGCAGCTGCTGCTGTAACTTTAGTTGAATCAGCAACATCACCAACTTTTCTCAGCTCATAGCGACCTGGGGATGTTACATTCGTCACTTTGTATGGTCCAATCCAACCCGATTCTAATTTTCTTGGTGTTAGGGCTTCTCTAGTAACTAACACATAATCACCAATCTTGAATTTTCTATGTGATTTTACATTCTTTTTTTGAAACAATGCGTCTTGTTGCAGGGCATTTTCATCCAGGCGTTTTTTTACAAATTCTTTCCATTTCTCGTGTTGAGGAGCAGAAACAGGAAGCTTATCTTCCGATGCACTTTCGATAATTCTTTGAATTTCTGGGATTCTATTATCACAGCCAAAAAGAGTTTGGAGAGGCGTTCTTTTAGTTGTTTTGTGAACGGTCGTATTTATAATAAGCTGGATACGTGATACTAGCGTACTCCACTCAGAAGTAACCTCAGCTTGAACTCGCAACAAATTTGCGATGAAAGCCATATAGCGTTCTACTTGGCCATTAGCTTTATGTACATAGGGTGTTTTAAAGTGCCACTGGATGTCCCATTCCGAAACAAGCTCATTATTTTGAAGACTTCGTAGTGAAGTTCCGTTATCACATATTATACGAGCCGGGGTGCCAACGAGATAAATAATATCCATCACACAATCTGCTATTACAGCGGTTTTAAGACTTCGCAATGCGCACAGGAAACAGTATTTGGAATAAGCATCGACAGCGACAAATACGTGAGTGAAGTCATCTTCCGTTTTCGGTAATGGTCCAAGACAGTCAATGTGCAACGTATTAAATGGAATAGCGACTTTCGGTATGGAGTGTATATCGTTTACAGTAGTTCGTGGTAGCCGTTTCCGGGTGAGGCAGGTTAAGCATGAATCAATATATTTCTTGACAAATTGGCGCATTCTAGGGAACCAGAAATGGGAATTTATGCTTAGAAAAGTTTTGTCTACGCCAATATGTGCTTGTCCGTCATGGTACTCTTTTAATAACGAATAGCGAGCATTTTTTGGTACAAAATATTGCGTAATTCTTTCAGAATTTATTTCAGTTAAATGGCATAAAGTGCTGCCTATTATACAAAACTGTTTTTTATCTATTTCATTATTCGCTAATTTATCTTTTAATTCCTGCGTTTCGCTATCCTCATTCTGTTGTAAGGATAGCCAACCGCTAGGCATCAAACTGCAAGATTCTGCTTCATTTTCATCAGATAATATTAAATTTTGACTAACTGGCATTAATTTTGGAGGATTACGGCTTAAGTAATCAGCGTATGCCATTTGGTTGCCAGGCCTGTGCTCAATTATGAAATCAAAGTCTTGTAGGTACACCCACCAGCGACTTATACGAGGTATCAAATCGCGCTTGTATTGGGAACTTTTCAGGGAATTGCAATCAGTTACGAGCTTAAATGTGATGCCTACAAAGTAATGCCTAAATTTCTTTAATGCATAGACCACAGCCAACGTTTCCAACTCATAGGAATGATAACGCGATTCAGCATCCAAAGTAGCTTTACTGAAATAGGCTACTACACGCTTATTTCCATCATGATTTTGTAGGATAATTGCTCCAAAACCATGACTACTTGCATCAGTATGCAATTCGGTTGGAAGGTTTGGGTTGAAAATAGCCAACACAGGTTCATTTGATAGAATATTTAAGACATATTGGAAGGATTCATTGTGTTCATTTGTCCAATTCCAAGGTGCATCTTTTCGCAAAAGACTAGAAATAATTCGAGTTTTAACTGAAAATTCTGGCACAAACTTCCGGAAGTATCCGGCCAAACCGAGGAACTGACGTACTTCTTTGACATTGGTGGGTGGTGAAAGGGACTTTAAAGCTAATGATTTTTCTGGACTTGGTTTAACACTTCCGTTTGAGATTAAGCGACCTAGATATTCAACTTCCGACTGTAGGAATTTACATTTATTGATATTAATTGAAAACCCATGTGTTCTTAGAGTTGTAAAAACTGCTGCTAGATTAGCAAGTTTTTTTATTCAATTGCTTCCAAGATTCTGCTTCTTTTCCCCTTATATATTTATATCTCTTTAATATTTTGCAGCCCACCACTTATCAGGGTTTCTAGTAAAAACAAGGATACATCTCCCTCTAATACATCTCCTCAACCAGGATGTAGTCATTGGGATCCTGAATTAAATATAGAAATGGAAGAACCGGAATGGTTGGTGAATGAAAATGCATGTTATTTTTCAAACAATTTCTTATATTTCAACCGAGATTTTAACTATCAATCAATCAAACCCCATTCCCATTTTAACCCCGGAAGGGAGAAGAATTGTAGACTTACCATATTTATTTCAAACCATAAAGGAACTAAATTACCATGGACCATTATTCGGTTGCTCATTCGCGAACATGATCATCGTTGGAGAGCACAGAAAAGGCTTGGAGAGTACCTAAAAACTAAAAAGTTCCATGTGCAATATAACGAAGCTCCTTCCTTTGGCTGAAACAAAAACAGGACAAATGAGTATAAACGAAGCATTGACGGTAGCTTCAATATCAACTGGGATTGGATATTCCACACCTGATGAAATCATGGCATTGCTAAATATTCCATTCATGTCGCCCAATACATATCAATCTTTTCATGAAAAAGTTGGTAGTATTATAAGAAAAACAGCGTGGGATGTTATGAAGGAAGCTGCCGAGGAAGAAGCTCAATTAGCGAGAGATTTGGGCGAAGATGATAAAAAGACGAAGTTTCCCTTGATTACCGTGGTAGCGGATGGAGCATGGGGAAAACGTTCATATAATGTAAATTATGATGCCGCATCAGGAGCAGTAAGTATACAGTTTAAAACAACGTTATAAATATTTATATTTTTTAAAACGAAGTAGGTAATTACTAAAATAATTTTGTATTTACTTTTTAGGCATGCATTGTTGAAGCGAGAACAAAAAAGTTGCTATTTTTGGGAATCCATAACAAGTATTGCAGCTGCTGTGCTCATGCGGAGGCAAAAAATGTATCCCCCATTCCCGACCATGCTTGCTACAAAAACTGGAAAGGAACTTCAACAGGAATGGAGAGTGATATATTTTGTGAGGGGTTCAAAAGAAGCATGGAAATGTATGGTTTAATATACCTGAAACTAGTTGGAGATGGAGATAGCAGTGACCATAAAAAATTAATTGAAAGTAGACCATATGACACCACACTGGTACAAAAACTTGAATGCAGGAATCATCTACTCAGAAACTTCTGTGCAAAAATTCGAGACATTTGTGGTAAGTGTGCTTGCCTTTTAATTCTTAGTAAATGTAGAAAATTTTGGTATTTCTCTCTCGTGCTTTTCAATAAACCTATAGATATTTTGAAAACAAAGTAAGTTATAAGGTAAATATACCTATTCATAATAGTTATGTGTATACCAAGGCCGAGAAATGCCTTTTTAGCGTACATAAAGAAGGCAAAATAATTTCGAGGACGCTAAAAAGTTTCGCGGTCATCGTATATACACTATTTTTTGCGCATCTATAAAAATTTGGTAAAGTTACAAAAAAACTGTATGGATTTGATACATTTTGCACGTAAGGTGTATGCACAAAAAATATTTTAGTCTGACATAAACAACCCCCTATAATAATAGTTACCTATAATTTATTTTCTAGCCAAGAAATGAAGTTCCTCTACCAATTTCCCAGTTTTACCTTCCCTAAGAAAAATAGTGTCTGAATCTGTTAGAAATTATTAGGAATAATTTATAATATATTATTTATTTATCAAAAATAATATATTTCTCCAAAATTATAATTTATTATAATGTAAATATTCACAGTACAAGGCTCGTGATGACTCTGCTCGTTTGTTTACACAGCAAGTCATCACTTGGACTTGTTTATTTTAACACAGTTTTTATGTGGAATTCATTTCAACGCTAACACGGCCAGCCTGATGCTGGGACGCTCTCGGCCCAGTCAGCTCGTCCATATCCTGACCTTCCTGAGGGGTAACAGGCAAAGTTCCTGGTTCTTCAATGCTCTAGAAGAATAAATTCATAGTTTTACCATACGTGGATACTTCAAAATTCATAAAAACTATTACCATATTGATAGACAATACAACTGTCCGGTAATATGAGAAAAATAAAATTGCATCAGCATAATAACCAAAAATATGTCAGCAAGCAATAAAATTGCCCAAACATAATAAGCAAAATTATGTCAGCAAGCAATAAAATTGCACAAACATAATAAACAAAAATATGTCAGCATGCAATATAATTGCCCAAACATAATAAACAAAAATATGTCAGCAAGCAATATAAGTGCCCAAACATAATAAGCAAAATTATGTCAGCAAGCAATATAATTGCCCAAACATAATAAACAAAAATATGTCAGTATGCAATATAATTGCCCAAACATAATAAACAAAAATATGTCAGCAAGCAATATAATTGCCCAAACATAATAAGCAAAATTATGTCAGCAAGCAATATAATTGCCCAAACATAATAAACAAAAATATGTCAGCAAGCAATATGATTGCTCAAACATAATAAACAAAAATATGTCAGCAAGCAATATAATTGCCCAAACATAATAAACAAAAATATGTCAGCAAGTAAAACATTTACCTCATGATCATCATTATCTGAAATATACGTCTCTAGCACATCTGAGCAGTCTTCAGGGTACCATTCTTTGGGCCAAAGACGCATCTGGTACGCAGCTGCTGCTGTAACTTTAGTTGAATCAGCAACATCACCAACTTTTCTCAGCTCATAGCGACCTGGGGATGTTACATTCGTCACTTTGTATGGTCCAATCCAACCCGATTCTAATTTTCTTGGTGTTAGGGCTTCTCTAGTAACTAACACATAATCACCAATCTTGAATTTTCTATGTGATTTTACATTCTTTTTTTGAAACAATGCGTCTTGTTGCAGGGCATTTTCATCCAGGCGTTTTTTTACAAATTCTTTCCATTTCTCGTGTTGAGGAGCAGAAACAGGAAGCTTATCTTCCGATGCACTTTCGATAATTCTTTGAATTTCTGGGATTCTATTATCACAGCCAAAAAGAGTTTGGAGAGGCGTTCTTTTAGTTGTTTTGTGAACGGTCGTATTTATAATAAGCTGGATACGTGATACTAGCGTACTCCACTCAGAAGTAACCTCAGCTTGAACTCGCAACAAATTTGCGATGAAAGCCATATAGGGTTCTACTTGGCCATTAGCTTTATGTACATAGGGTGTTTTAAAGTGCCACTGGATGTCCCATTCCGAAACAAGCTCATTATTTTGAAGACTTCGTAGTGAAGTTCCGTTATCACATATTATACGAGCCGGGGTGCCAACGAGATAAATAATATCCATCACACAATCTGCTATTACAGCGGTTTTAAGACTTCGCAATGCGCACAGGAAACAGTATTTGGAATAAGCATCGACAGCGACAAATACGTGAGTGAAGTCATCTTCCGTTTTCGGTAATGGTCCAAGACAGTCAATGTGCAACGTATTAAATGGAATAGCGACTTTCGGTATGGAGTGTATATCGTTTACAGTAGTTCGTGGTAGCCGTTTCCGGGTGAGGCAGGTTAAGCATGAATCAATATATTTCTTGACAAATTGGCGCATTCTAGGGAACCAGAAATGGGAATTTATGCTTAGAAAAGTTTTGTCTACGCCAATATGTGCTTGTCCGTCATGGTACTCTTTTAATAACGAATAGCGAGCATTTTTTGGTACAAAATATTGCGTAATTCTTTCAGAATTTATTTCAGTTAAATGGCATAAAGTGCTGCCTATTATACAAAACTGTTTTTTATCTATTTCATTATTCGCTAATTTATCTTTTAATTCCTGCGTTTCGCTATCCTCATTCTGTTGTAAGGATAGCCAACCGCTAGGCATCAAACTGCAAGATTCTGCTTCATTTTCATCAGATAATATTAAATTTTGACTAACTGGCATTAATTTTGGAGGATTACGGCTTAAGTAATCAGCGTATGCCATTTGGTTGCCAGGCCTGTGCTCAATTATGAAATCAAAGTCTTGTAGGTACACCCACCAGCGACTTATACGAGGTATCAAATCGCGCTTGTATTGGGAACTTTTCAGGGAATTGCAATCAGTTACGAGCTTAAATGTGATGCCTACAAAGTAATGCCTAAATTTCTTTAATGCATAGACCACAGCCAACGTTTCCAACTCATAGGAATGATAACGCGATTCAGCATCCAAAGTAGCTTTACTGAAATAGGCTACTACACGCTTATTTCCATCATGATTTTGTAGGATAATTGCTCCAAAACCATGACTACTTGCATCAGTATGCAATTCGGTTGGAAGGTTTGGGTTGAAAATAGCCAACACAGGTTCATTTGATAGAATATTTAAGACATATTGGAAGGATTCATTGTGTTCATTTGTCCAATTCCAAGGTGCATCTTTTCGCAAAAGACTAGAAATAATTCGAGTTTTAACTGAAAATTCTGGCACAAACTTCCGGAAGTATCCGGCCAAACCGAGGAACTGACGTACTTCTTTGACATTGGTGGGTGGTGAAAGGGACTTTAAAGCTAATGATTTTTCTGGACTTGGTTTAACACTTCCGTTTGAGATTAAGCGACCTAGATATTCAACTTCCGACTGTAGGAATTTACATTTATTGATATTAATTGAAAACCCATGTGTTCTTAGAGTTGTAAAAACTGCTGCTAGATTAGCAAGTCCTTCCTCAATTGTAATGGAAGGGATGAGGACATCATCCAGGTAAACAAGGGCTAATCCATTTTTAATTTCATTGTGTAAAGCAATATTTTTGGCACGTTGGAAAATAGAAGGGGCATTGGCAAGGCCAAAAGGCATCCTCAAATACTCAAACTGGCCATCTGGTGTTACGAAGGCCAGTTTCTCAACTGAATCAGGGTGGACCTTTATCTGGTGGAATCCAGCAGTCATATCGAGAATAGTGTAATATTTGCTCTGACCTAATCGGTCAATTTGATCGTCTATTCGGGGAAGGGGAAAACAATCTTTAACTGTAATACGGTTCAAAGCCCTAAAATCGCAAACTAGGCGTGGCTCGCCGTTTTTCTTACGAACTAGCAAAACGGGACTTGCATAAGGCGACTGCGAAGGTCTTATGATGGAATTATCCAATAAATCCTGTACAATCTTACAAACCACTTCCCTTTCTGCTACTGATAGCCGATATGGGCGGTATTTAATTTCTTTATCAGACGTAAGACGTATTTTAAACTCGCCAGTAGTAATTAATGAAGGAACTTTATTTCCACTAGTAGAAATATCCGAAAACTCTTTTAAAATTATTTGAAGTTGCTCATCTATTGGCGGACTGGTAGAAGTATTAATTTGCTGATGAATTTTAAATGCCAATTTGGGACCGAATTGGTTATATGTAAGAGAAACTCCAGGAATGTTCAAAAAATCTAAACCAATTATTATCTCACAACAAATTGTTTCACTAGGTACAACATGCAATTTAAGAGAAAGTTCAACACCATCTAGAATTATGTCAACACAAAGTACTTGATGTGAATAAAATAGGCTATTACCTACGCCACTGATAGACCTTTCTTCAGGGATAAACGTCTGCGACACTTCTTTAGAAATATTTTCACGAATTAGTGAAACTTGAACTCCTGTGTCTAAAAGAACTTGATAAAATACACCATTGATATTAAGAGGATATAAACAAAGGTTATTAATCATTTTGTTTGAATTACGGGAACCGCAGGTATTTATATGTTTAGATTTATCATCTTTCTTCTCATAACGTAATCTTTTAAAGCACTTATCAAATGAGTGCCCAGACTTTTTGCAGAAATTACATGTTATTAAATTATCATATGATCTAGAGGGACCAGGGGTATCATGTTCTCTTTTTACACCTCGTGCAGTACATGCCGACTGACGATGTCCTATATTACCACAATTAAAACATTTAATATCATTAGTTTTTACGCGTATAATATTGTTTACATTCGGATTTACAATTTTCTGCTGAGTTTCACGACGAACTACACTTGGCTTACTCTGTATACGGGATAAATGAGCAATAAGAGAACTGGTTGTTTCATGACCAGCTTGAGTCACTTGTGCTTGTAAAGCAGAATCTTTAATGCCAAAACATATTAAACTGATAATTTGTTCTTGTGTAAAAGAAACACGCAACAAATTTATTTTTTGTAACTTCATGCGCCCATATGAACCAAAAGACGAACAGCCGTCAGAATTATACATTATAGCCTCATTCATTAATTTACCGAAATCAGCACTGCCAGCAAAACTTTCGCATAAATCTCTTTTCAAAGTATCCCAAGAACGGCGATCAACAGGGCTCCAATTGCTAAACCACTCACCTGCCTCCCCTTCAAAACAGTTGGCGATTCTAGCCATAAGTACTCCATCATTCCAGCCCAAATCTGTAGCCAAGCTCGACACTTCATTCGTCCATTGTTCAGGATTATCACGTCCAGGCGAAAATACCGGAAGAATGACCGAATCACCCGACGACACAGAAGGCACATTATTCGACACACTAGAACGCGAATCAACTCGCTCCAAAAATCCTCGAAGTAGTCTCTAATGTAGAAGCTACCGAGGGCGTGGCACTTTCTTGACATTCTTCTTGCATTTTAAATGGAAAAACGCTATGTCAAATGGCACGAAACGCAAGACACCGGGTTCATCCCACTTCTGATGTTAGAAATTATTAGGAATAATTTATAATATATTATTTATTTATCAAAAATAATATATTTCTCCAAAATTATAATTTATTATAATGTAAATATTCACAGTACAAGGCTCGTGATGACTCTGCTCGTTTGTTTACACAGCAAGTCATCACTTGGACTTGTTTATTTTAACACAGTTTTTATGTTGAATTCATTTCAACGCTAACAGAAGCGATCATCAGATTGAGGACCTGCATTAAAATGGCAGTAAATTACAGGATGAAGCAAGACACAAATTTTTCAAGCAAAGTGGACTATCTTGTTGCAGACATGAAGAATATACCATTCCATGTTTTTGGGGATCATAAGAATTGTGCAGAAAGGGGTTACTTTAAATGCAGCAGAAAAGACTCAGAAGAAAATTATATTCCCCTTATGCAGACATGTGGTCTCCTTCAAGATATCGACGTATGCTTTAATAGACTCGTTTTTAATGCAGCAAGCCTTATCCATAATATGGATAATAATCTTGCAGAGAGCTACAATTCGGTGATATGCAAGTTTGTTGGAGGAAAAAGAATTAACTTTAGCAAAAAAGGCTCTTATCAGACCAGATGCGAAGCTGCCGCAATTTCTTTTAATGTAGGTAGTGGAGACTTTCATCTTGCCATAGGCAAGGCGATTGGTAACGCTACTCCTGAAGCCTATACAAAAAAATATGCTGACAAATTAAAAATAAAAAGATCAATAATAAAAAGAAAAAGGCTATTTAGTGTAAAACAAACAAATGCGCATCTTCCTGATAAAGATTATGGACCAGATGCTACTGCCGAACCGGATCTAACTGAAGAACAGTACCAATTTAAAAAGAATATATTTTTAAAGGAGCTCGAAAAGTCAGGAGAAGAAATTGAAAAGCTGGAAAGGGAAACGAGAGGTCTATCTGGCAACTCACTGTGGAAGCAGGAAAGGAGCCTCCGGCTAACCGCCTCTAATTTTGGAACTGTCTGCAAAATGAGGAAAACAACAAGTTGCGAAAATAGTGTGAAGAATCTTCTATATTCTAAATTTATGGGAAGTTCTGCAACAAGATATGGAACAGAAAAAGAACCGTTAGCCATAAAAGCATACGAAACCTACACAAAAGAAATAGTGGAGCCTTGTGGTTTGTTTGTTGATAAAAAACATTGTTTTTTGGCAGCTAGTCCAGATGGACTTATTCAGGAGGAGGGGATAATTGAAGTGAAGTGTCCTTCCTCAGCGGAAAAAATGACGCCAGAAGAGGCGATTCAACAACAAAAAAATTTTGCTACCCTGAATAATGGAAAACTTGAGGTAAAGCAAAACCACAATTATTTTTATCAAATTCAGGGACAACTACACATAACCAAAAGGAAATATTGTAATTTTCTAGTCTGGACGCCATTGGGATTCCTTGTACAAAAGGTATGATTTTTGCCATATTTTTGTAAAATGTTTAATATATCTATTGCTTATTTTTTTCAGATAGAGAGAGATGATTTATTCTGGGAAGAGAAAATGGAACCATTATTGAAACAATTTTATTTCAAATGTCTACTCCCAGAAATAATTGATCCAAGATTCACGAGAGGACTAAAAATAAGAGATGTTGCTCGGGATGATTGACAGGGCCTTTATTTGTTGATTGTTTTAGTTATTTTTTGAATAAATCTGTTTTTAATTTCAACACAGTTTCTTTGTGAATTTATTTTTCCACCGTTTTTCAAAAAGTGTTCGCTTTAGCTGTCCAACAAAACTATTTATTCGGACCTATAATAAAAATATTATTATGATGCCCATGTCATAAATTACTACCCAAATTATAAGTCATTCTTGGTAATTATTTCACATTGAAAGGGAAAAGCAATATTAGCACGCGACAAGTTAGGTACCTACCTACGAAGAAGGCACTGTTGCCAATGCAAAAATATGGTCTAGTGGCGAGCGCTGTGGTCGACTATGCTCGAAAGGCGCGCCATCGAAATAATTTTTCACTGATGATACCCCTTATGTGCTTAATGTCGGTTCCGAGGAAACAGACGCCTTTAACATAATTTCTACTTACACTGATAAGTCTTAATAGACCGGTGGCCCAGCGTCAAACCAACCCCCTCATCGGGCACAAAATTTTCAAAAAAAAAATATATGACGTAAAACTTCCCTTACGAGTACAATCACAAAATTTTGTAGGCTTTAACACAGTCAGATTGGTGTGCTAAGAATGCATGGCAAACGCCTTCAAGTGGTAGCCTGTCCAAGACAAAATTACGCTGAAGTGTTCCTTATAAAGACAATAAATAAAACTACAACATAAGAGGAACCAAAACACAGATTATGTATTATTCAAGAGTACTTAGTTTATAATGATAAATAGGAGTTACAGATTATATAGGAACATTTATTAGTGACTCTCTCAGACCTTACTTCACTAGAGACTCATTACGCGGGGAAGTCGATAATTTGTTTGAAAGTTCGTGAAAAATTATTGATGCTTTGTAGGGATTTTTTGAAGGTTAAGGATGATAGAGTTGAGCCTTAAGGTTTAAGGTCAGGCCTATAGTTTATTACAGCAACGCGAGATGTCAATGCTGTCGCCCCTGCAGTGTGCCCTTACTTGATAGTCAAAAAAAAAAAATAGAAATCTTCATTTGGTTAAATTGTGTGATGGAACGTTTTTTCTTTTTTTTGCGGAAATTCGGAGTATTATTGTGTTTTACATAAACAAGGTTGTAATTTGGACCAACGCAAATAATTTTGAACGTTCATCCGTCGGATTTTTTTTTTAAACAGTGTAGCTACAGGCGTATTTCCAACTATCTTTGCAGTAGCGGAAAAACTACGCGTTCAAAAAATTTGAAAAAAATATATGTCGCGTAGAATTGCAATAGTAGTTCGTAATAAAAATAACGGGAAACTTCATCGATTCATTTTGAAATAAATGGTGTAAAACCACTTTTTTTTTCCGTTTTTGCGATATAACTCAAAAATCGCGAGTCAAATTTGCTTAAAAAAATTATGGATTAAAGTATATCAATAACCATAAAACATATATTTTTTTTGGAATATTTGAACGCAAGGTTCAGAAAATAGGGGTTGACTTTAAACCTTAACCCGTAACTGGTGAGGTCATTTTTTTGTTACATAACCGGTGAGGTGGGGTTTGCCTAACTCCAAATGAAAAAGGCGATTCTGCTAATTCAAAATAAAAAAACGTGTACATACTTTCAACAAACAAAAAACAAATATTTTAGGAATAATTCAATTTAACTATGGGACTGCACAAAATACACATCAAAACTTATTTCTAATTGCTGGAAGTAATCAAACTGAAAATCTATATATATATAAAACACAGTTGTGTTGGTATTTGAGCACTTATAACTCGAGAACGGCTGGACTGATTTTTATGATTTTTGCTTTATTGGATTTGTCTTTGTCTAACATAATAAATCGAAAAAATCAAAAAAATCAAAAAAAAAAATCACCTTTTTTACTTATTTATGAAAAAAAATTAATAAGCCCGCATACTGCGCCATCTCTTATAACCGATACCAAGTTTACCCTCACATTTGCATTGCAAACCATAAAGATTTTATTGTCACACACTTTGCACAAAAACAATTTGAGGAAAGCACCTTACTTTCAATTGTTCTTTACAATAAAAATGTCCAAGGATAAATAGAATTACAATGTTTTAATTGTGTATTTTATTTTGTTGTTGGTCCATTCCGAAAGAGCGCGAACTGGTCTTCCTGTCATTTCTTGACGCTTGACCATTGACGTTCTGTGGCTAATTTCCGTTTCTCCTCTCAGGCATCCCTTGACAGCCGTGTTCCGTGCCGACTGTTCGTAGTGCTCCGTCCGGCTGGTGTTCGAGTGGCAGAGAGCCAAGTTATGAGTCCGCCACAACCATTTTGTATACGGCGCCATATATGATACCTAGAACGAAGCTCACCGATGCGCGGTAATTTCATTGCAGATGCAGTAGAACCGTGCTGCTCAGGAACTGGAGATATTTGGAACAGAACTATTCCACTATTCTGATCAGATAGAGTGGTGCAGAAAGAGTAGATCCGAGAGTAGATCAGATAGAATAGTGCAGATAGAGTAGAAAAGATGGAGTAGTGCAGTGCATATAGAGTGATACAGGGCTGCGATGTAGATTTTTTTTGTTTTCTTTACATTCTTTGAACATTCCTGTGCCTGAGTTTATTTATTTGGTGGTACACTTTACAAGAAAAATGCCCACAAGCTGCCTTGAAAGGGATGATGTAAAATTTTAATTTTAGGTGACTTCTGATCTAGAGAGTAAACATTAATATTCTTCAACCAAAGCCAAATTCACCATCGAAAAAAACTGAATTTAATTCAGCTAATAGATACGTTAACACAACATTTAATAGGTATTTAATACTTGGAATTTGTTAGGTACTTTTTTTTACAAGGATTCTCTGAACTGATTAGGGGAATATGGTGCAAAGTGAAAAATGATATTTTGAAATTAAGTTTGATATCTTAGGTGGTAGTGAGAGAAACATTGGCGATTCTGTCGCATAAACTTTAAAAAACCAAATATTGTTTATATATATTTTTTCAAGTGTTTTTTGTGTTTTTTGTATGTGTTCATAAACTTTCACACAAAATTCTAATCAACTAAATAGGGTTATGTTCATTTGACACTTCGAAAGTACATGAAGTTAGCCGCTGCTAGATGGTCCAGTGCCCAGTTATCCGAGAGCACCAAACAAGCTAGCAGACCAAAACGAAACCATCACACTCGCTTTCTACATTTTACCTTGATAAATTGAACCACAGTAAAATGGACCACTGTGTGAGTTGCAATGTTGAGTGCATTTTCAAACGAAGGCCTCCTGAGAATGAATTATTTGGAGCTAGTTGCGATGTGTGTAAGCAAATGTACTGCAAACATTGTTCTGATCTATCACCGACCGAATGCGACAGTTTAGTTCTTACTAAAAAGACCTTACTATTTGTCTGTACAGGGTGCTCAGATTTACTGAGAGAATGTAATGCTGAGCTGGAATACCTGAAAAAGGCTTACAATGACTTACGCAACAAAACCATGGAAAAAGATAATACCATTGAAGACCTTCAAGAAAAATATGAGGTTTTGAACGAAGATCACAGAAAACTCAAAAGTGATATAGAAGATAGAGACAACTTTATTGCTAGACTGAAAAGAGGATCAAGAAGTTTTGAGGACGAGGCGTGTGATAGGGAAGAACAGTTGAAGAAAAATATAGAATCTCATGTGAAATTGATAGAGAAATTGAATCAAGAGATAAAACAACTGAAAGAAGAACAGAACGAGAAGCAAACAGAAATCAGTGACACAGAAGTTAAATACGAAATAGAAAAACAAAATTTAGAAGAACTGGAAAGCAAAAACCACAAAATGGCTACGAGTATAACGAATCTGCAATCTGAAATAGCAAAACTTGTTTCTGAATCAAGAAGTGGCAAAATGGAAATCGCTGAATTGAAAGAAGCACTACAAAGCTATAAAAATGAGCATAAAGCTATAAAAGAAGAAAACCTCTTGCTATTAGAAAAGATGAAAGCACAGAATACGAACTGTAACCTTCTAGAAGATTTGATGGATAGCCCTGAAAAAGATCGAACTATAAATAATAAAGAAGAAATCATAGCTAAAATGAAAGAGGAGCTAAAAGAACTCAAAGAAATTGATAAAAGTATGACAGTTTCCATAAGTGTGCTGGAAGAGGAGAACAAAAGGCTAGAGAAAGAGTTGAAGGAATTACAAATAGAGTTTGACCGGATTTTAGCAGAACATATTTCATGAGAAAAATCGCTGGTTGTGAATGTTATAGAATCGAAAACTAAAAAAACTACAAAAGTCATCACTAAAAATACAAACAAAACGTTAACTCTACCAAAAAACAAGCAAACATCACGAATATTCATGACGCACACATCATTACTAATAAGAATGAAGCTTATCCCAGTCATTCTATCAAAGTAAGGTCAACTATAAACTGTAATTTAATCACTAGTTCTCAAAAAAAAAACATAAGATATTGTTTTTGACAGACCAGTATGGAAAATATTTGTTACCCTATCTTGAAAATCACCTTTCTGATAAATTTGACGTACAGATTGTGACCAAACCTAATGCTTTATTCATTGATGTGATAGGGAGACATGAAGAATCAATTTCCAAAATGTCGAGCTCGGACTATGTTATATTGTTCGTCGATTTTTAACTGATACTTGCGGTATGAGGAGCGAGGGGGTGTTTCATATGGCAAAAACAGGTGTGACGTCAGGTAACCATTGGCGTTCTAATGTAGGGAGCCACCAGCTCACATTCCGTCCGAGTATCAGATTAAAATCGACGAACAATAGTAATGTCGGGGCTAAATAACAATAATGTGAAACTGAGTGATATCACCCTAATTGCCAATACTTGCTTCTACACCAACCTAATTTTTTGTACCATACCTGCAAAATGTACTGATGGTTTGCCATATTGTCATGTCGACTATGTAAATGGTAAGATAGTAAATGCTGTTTCAAGCCTAAGAAAATTTGTTAGCAATATCAATTGTCTTGACCTATCCAACAAATTTCGATACTCTGACTAC